ATGATATCAAAGTTGCATGGTTGGAGGATGTAGGTATAAAAAGTAGTCCTGATATATTTTAATAAATCCTCAAGCAATTGCTGAACATTTTGCTACCAGATTAAATGGTCTAAAGCAAATGAGCAAGAGTGTAGTGTTGGCACTGACATTTTGTTGGCTTGAGAAGGGGCTGTCTGCATTAACTTTCTGTGGCAATGCTGAGATTTCTCACCCCTCACACTGGTAAGGCTTGGGCATGGAACCAGACATCCATCCACCATTGCTGGTTCTCCCTCCCCATGGGGCCTGACGTCAGAGAAACACCCCTCCGCCAACCCCAAGAGCTCAGGAGACACTGCTGCAAGGGGCACCCAAGGAGACAAGGAGGTGGATACTTACGCTCAGTGCAGTATTGCCCTTTCCAACCCGGGTTGCAGACTTTCTCGCCACGCTCTCCACAGGTGAAGTGACCAAAGGCATCATCCCTGGGGCGGCAGAAGACAGAGCAGCCTTCTCCGTAGTAGTGCTCATCACACACAAAGCGATAGGAGTACTTGAGGTCAGTGCGGCCACTGCTATGCAGGTCCTGGGACCACTCTTCACCCACTGCCAAGTGTCTCTGGGTGGCCAGGCGGCTGATGAGGCGCTCAGGGTTTTCTGTGTGAAAGTGGAGAGGACAGTGGTTAGAGAGCACAAAGCAGGTAGGGCATAGGGGGGGGTCTCTGGTGGGAGGAGAACTGCAGAGGCAGGATGACATGGCTGCATGCCAACAGGATGGCCTCTGTTGCCACAGGTCAGCCTCTGTTGCCACAGGTCTACTGTAGAGGAGAATGTGCTACACACTGCAGAGAAAGGGGCCAAATAGGGCTGCAGGACTGGGATTATTACAGGGAAAAGATGTGTTTCAGGACACTTACCAGTGGTGAGGTCATCAGGTGAATCTGTATGCAGAGCCTCAATGATGAGCGAGAAGGTGCCCTGTGGAAAGAAGGAGCAGAGACAACCCACCAGGAGTTCATGAGAGCAGGTAGGCCCAAGGAACAGTGCCACCAGTCCCCAGAAATTATAAGTCATTGTCCCCCTCCCATCTTGACACTTCAAGGAGATTGGTGGCCTCTTGGAATGGCACGGGTCGGGACGGGATGGATGTGGACCGCCCCCTCCAGCATCGCCCCCCACTTACGGGCCAGGTGAAGCCAAAGGGAAAGCGGATGGGATTGCTGAAGGCGGGGTCGGCACCGCCCGCGCCATCGGGGACGCTGAAGGAGTTGGCGCCGAGGACGGGGGTGATGGCGCTGCCGTAAGTGCAGGGCGGCTCGGGGGACACGCTGGCCTGGTAGTGCTTGAGACAGACGCGGAAGAAGGTCTTGCAGTCGCACTGCTGGAGCCCGCCGGCGCCGGGGCCGCCCCCGCGGCAGCAATTGCGGTTGCTGAGGAGCCCCTTCTTATTGACAAACTCCTGCAGCTTCAGCTCGAAGACCCCGGAGGAGCCGACCTGCGGGGCGGGGACAGTGGACGTCAGCCACCGAGCAGCCCGCTCCCCAGCCCGACCCCGGCCCCGGCCCCGGCGGGCACCCCCTCCCCGCTCCTCACGGCTGCAACCGGCAGCGACAGTCCCCGGCATCCCCCGCGGGACTCCCCGGTGCAGGGACCCCACGGCGCAGGCATTCCTGTCCCCCACCCCGCGGGCACTTACCTGGCAGCGGCTCAGCAGCACCGAGAGGACGGCGAGCGTCAGCAGGAACCGACCTCCCATTTTGGAGGTGCAGCTCTGGTGCCCTCGCTTTCCTCCCGCTTATCTTCTCGTCAGAGGGAAAGGGGGAAAGTGTCTTTCGGGGTGAGGGAAAAAACACAGCGGCCAAAGCCGCTCGTCCCAGCGGAGCTGGAAGAGTTAGTGTCACGGTCTCCTTTCAGGAGTGTCTCTGACTTTTTTTTCCCTTTTGCCGACACCTCTAGATGTAGCCTGTCGGCAACTGACAGCTCTTTCGGATGGCAAAAGAAAAAGAGAGGAAAAGAGGACGGGAAAAAAAATATCTGTTAAACTCTTTTTCTTTCGCAATCCACGATGCTCCTCCTTTTCTCCAGGAAGAAAAAAATAAAAATAATAAAATAAAAGCAACTTAATTCCCAACAGAGGCAGAGAAAAGGCTTCCCACGGAAGATTAAAAATTGGTGATCTGGAAATCCCTGCAGAGACAGCGGCGGAGGCAGCGGCGATAATTCCCGGGGCGGTGCGATTGGGGAGCGGCTCTGCGCGGCTGCGCTCGCCCTGCGCACGTCGGGGCTGGTGGGTGTCAAACAGCAGCGGTGGCGGGCAGGTCACGTCGGAGCCTTGATCCCCTTTTTTTTTTCTCTTTTCCTTTTTTTTTTTTTTTTTTTTTTTTTTTTTTTTTTTGCAAAGGAAGCGAAGCTCTCTTTCCTTGTTGTGGGTTTACTTTTGTTTTTAGAGGAATCCCAGCCAACAAAAATAAGCTCGTGTCTCAAAAGCAGCGAACAGAGCGTGTCCGGGTGTGCTCCTACGGGGGAGGGGGTGCCTGCTCTGCGCTGCTCCGCTCCGCTCCGTGCCGCGGCTCGGCTCGGCTCGGCTCGGCGGCTTTCTCCGAGGGTGAAGCGCTAAGGATCTGCCTCTCCTTGGGAGCCTGCCGCCCTTATATCCCGCCGGCCGACTGCATGCCTAATGAGATGCAAATGAGCAGCCCCCCAATCTGGCTAGAGCTGTCACAAAGGAGCCACTTTTCCAAACCCTCCTCTCAATGGATCGCCAAATGGTCAGTGAGCTGTAAAATGTGCAACCCTCCTCCCCCTCCCCTTCGCACTCACAAAACGTGTTCATTTACATTCCTGCAAATTTGGTAACCGCAAGAATCCCCCTTCTGCTCCGGCGAGAGGGTAACACCCCCTCTGCACCGGGGAGAGACAGTGCAACACGCTCCGGCCAGAGAGCAGCCCCGGGGACGGCGGGCTGTAATTGCCTCTTGGAACGTGCAGAGCAGCCGCCGTGACCCCAAAAAGTGACTCTGTGATCGTGACTACTCCAAGGGGCTTCTCCGGCGTTAAAGGGACGAGGGAGGTGGGAGCCATCGAGCCACATCGAGGGGAGTCCCATCCCGTGAAATTCACACTGCATTTACCCTGGCATAACGGGGGTAACTGGGAAGTGGAACAACGAACGTGGACGAAGTGACTCGGGGTTCGCTCTTCCGCTCATGGCGCGCATCCCGCCGGCAGAGGCACAGGGGATCCCCGGGGGTCCGGCGGCGAGGGAGGACGCGGGCGGGCTCGCGGCGGGGACTCGTGGAGGGGACCGGTTTGCGGGGCTCCTTGGGTCCCCTCCCCGCCACCACCGCTGCTGGAGAGAGCCACTCGCTGCGCCCGGGTCCCGCACCCCTCTATGATTATTATCATCATCACCAGCAATCTCTCCCTCGCTCTCTCCGTCTCTCTCTCTCTCTCCCTCTCTCTTTTTTCGTCCTTCAGCTTAGTAAAAAGTGAGTTTGGTGTGTGTCGTTCGCGTGGCTGTCATTAAGGCCGTTTGTTATTGTGTGAGGGCTGAATCAGTTAGCTCTTTGTGCTCTCAGCTGTATGGTAATGTAGACAGCACCTGCTCCCTGCACAATGCGAGGGAGAGAAAGAGCTCCCCTCGGCGCACGCTACTGCCTCTACAACAATGTCCGCACATTTTTTAAAGAAATCCCTTCCAGCACTTCCCCCCTCCGCAACACACATCCACACACACTCACATACACACACATACGAGCACAAAATAAACTGGCCCAAATTTACACCAGTCGTCACCTTTACAAAAAATTTTACGTACCCATTAGACAGTACAACTTTTGTTTTGATCTTTAAAATACAGAAAGGAGTTTACTGGTGCAGTGAAAAAGGGATAGAGACTATTACCATTTGAGCAGTTTCTTAATGATGGATGGAAGCAGGGGATAAAAGTTGGAGGGCGACTCTGGCATGTCACTCGAAGCAGGGTTTTCCACTTTGTTTAGGCCCTCTGTTTAAACACCTTTGGTAGGCGCAGGCGGATTCATTAAGATGCAAGGTATAACTGTCTCTGTAAATGTCATTTTAATTGTAACAGATCATTTCAGCACAGATTAAGCTTGTGTGCAAAAGGAGAGGATTTGGCTACAATAACCTCACTGTAGGTATGCCGTGCTAAAAGCCTTATTATGGCGACTTTATTGGGTTGAAACGTGCATTTGCATGGCAAAATGTGGCTTCCATTGAAGCAGATGTCTTGATCACAAATTATCTTACAATGCGCTAGGAAAAAAAAAATCTTAAAGACTTCTTAAAGTAAAAGCATTGAGTAATACCAATTAAAAGAAAATCACTAATGAGTTCATTCAGCCCAGCTCTTCTTGACTGTTCCAGGACTGTAGCTGCCCACATTCATTTACTAGGGGTTTGTGGCACCTACCCCAAACCCAGGCCACCTACTCCAACCCTTGGTACAAGCATCCAGATCTTTGCAACGTTTTGCTACTCAACGTGCGTCCTTTACATCTAATTGTAGTCGAATGGCCATCTACATCCAGGCGCTCTTCCTCTCACCTCTTCCCGCCCCTCGACGCATAAGCAAAAGTTTAAAATGTACAGGAATGTTTGGGTTTGGTGGGTTTTTTTTTTTTTTGGTTTTGGGGTTTTTTTTTTTTTTTTTTTTTTTTTTGGTTTGTTTGGTTGGTTTGGTTTGGTTTGGTTTTTTTACCCGGGAGCTGTGTCTGGGCAGAGAAGGGACCAGCAATCCCGCAGGCATAGTGCGAGGACGTAGGGAAGGCGGCCCAGGAGGGAGCGGAGCGGAGCGGGCGGCGGATCCCCGGAGGCCCGGCCGCCCGCCCCCGCCGTGCCCAGCCTCAGCACGGGGAGCGGGGGGGCGCATCCCGCAGCAGCGCCGGTTTTCACTGCACATTACTTTTGCCACCTAGCGTCAACATCTTTTCAAGTGGCTTGTCGCTGCTTCGCAAACTTTGCTGCGGCGTTATCTCCGGGAAAAAGAGAGAGAGGGAGAAAACATCACTTCGTATGAGGTTTACTAAGCGAGTGGGGCGGGGGGGCGGGGGTGAGCGGCAATATCTTTCTTGAAATTTGGGTGGTGGCCCGTCGGTGGAGGCAAGAAGTGATATATCAACGCGTATCCTTTAATCTGCGAGAGATAGAAAGTTGGTCCATTAGCATCTCCTTGCTTAAGAAATTGGAAATAGAAAGTTAACACGCGCGAAGGCTTTAACCTAGCGATAGGGGAAAAAAATAAAAAAAAAAAAAAAAGAAGAAAAAAAAAGAAAAAAAAACAAAGCCAAAAAACCCAAACCGAAAAAACTTACCCCCAAATCCTTAACAACCCCCCTTCGGTACCGGGTATTTGTTAAATTGACGTGGCACAGATTTCTCGATTACCGCTGCTGAGCGTGACTGAAAGGCGCCGTGAGAGCCGGCAGGATCCTGCCCACGGCGCTCATTCTTCTCTGGCTTAATTTATGCCACGCGATTCTGTATTGGGGAAATCAAGCAGAAAGCTCCTTTTTCTGCTTTTTTCCCCCCTCTCCCTCTCTCTTTCAGATGCTGGACTAACGGGGAGACTGTTTAACTTAAGTGTTTCTATAGGAGGCTGTTGTAGTTTAACTCCTGCCCACCAGTAGCTGAGGCGAACAAAGGAGGGACTCGAGGTCTAACTATTCATCCATTCTCTGCACTTTAATTTTCATTGATTTCGAAGACAAGGGGAGCCCTTAGGGATTCTCGCTGAAGGGGGATGACACGCCTTTAGACGCGATCAGCCCCCCAGCCAGCCATCTGCTCCCAACCAAATGGCGCTTTTTCGCTCCCAACCGCGTGTCTCCGCACCGCGCTCGCCCGCCGCCCCCCGCCGCCCCCGCGCTGTTCGCCGTGCCCGCGCACCGCCACCGGCCCCCGCTGCCGGGCACGGCCAGCCGCCCGGTCCCTTCCCATCTCGTCCCGTCCCGCCCGACGTCCTGCGTGGCCATACCCGCCCTGCCGAGTGAGCCGGCGGCAGGACCCCCGGGGGCGGGCGCGGGAAGCGGGGCCCCGCCAGGGCGCGGTGACCCCGCACGGCCGGGACGCGGCGGGCCCGGCCCCGCCTGCCAGCGGCTCGCTGGGGCTGGTGGGGTATTGTGCTCTCCCTCCCTGCCCCTAATTGATACCCTTCCCGCAACGCCGACCCCCCTCTTCTGCTCCGGCGAGTATTTACGGTCGCGCCGCGGACCAGCGCGGCCGACAGCTCCCCACCAGCCGCAGCTTTTATTTCTAAGCGAGCCAGATTATGGGAAAAGTCACTTAAAAAGGGGGGTGGGTAGGATATGTGCGTGTATTAACTAGGGCGACGCCCTGCCATCGCTGGCGTGCAACACTGATTTTTCCCGGGACGGAGGGCTCCGGGCATATGGCGAACGGTGCGTCGGCGGAGGGACGTGAACGTGTGAAGCTATGTGTAGCCGAGTGTGCATAATATTTTAATTAGATCTATAGTCCCTACGGAGGTATGTGTGCGTGCCTGCCCCACCGCCGCACGCCCCCTTCACCTGTTCCTCCGGGCCGGGCCGGGCCGGGAGGGGATGAGAAGCGGGGGGAGGGCAGGCAGGGTGCCGCTGGGCCGGGGTTCTGGCTCCCCCGCTTGCCCCAGGCTCGGCGACGTGACCGGGGGTGCTGGCGCTGCCCCGGGCCCAGCCGCCGGGCGCCCCGACCTGAGGCGGGTGCGTGACGAGCGCGGAGGGTCCGCGGTGCCGGAGGGGCGCTCCGCCGCCCTTGCCGTGTGCGGGGAGGAGCATTAAGAAGTTTAGCGTGTAGGTTAGCCCAAAGTTGCAAAGGCATGTGCTGATTAGAATAAGAAAGGGCAGTCGCGTGGCTCAGCTGGCACACAGCGAGGCCAGATGATAGATAAGCAGCTCCGGGTCCTCCCTTCCCCCCAGCCCCCTTTTTGAAATCGCAAATCATCTGCTCCGGCCCTATCCTAGCCCCTCATTTTCATTACAATGGTTGTGTGTTTACCTGTGATCCTGGGACGGGGCATTCCTTTGTCTCCCGAGGAGATTACCGCAGCCAGCTGCTCTCCAACCCTTCCCTGGGCAAATCCCGAAGTGGCCCCTATATGTGTTTTACTGATTGCACACGAGGAGAAAGCCAGATACCCCCTCCCCCCCACCCCGGCCCCGTTTCTCTGCGCTACTTGTTTGTTTGGGTTTGCTCCCTGGCTTGCTTCCGACGGGATTTAGCTTGTGGGAAACTAAGAGGGATAAAATTAATCACTCGTGTGCGTGAGCTGTCATTGCTCCCAAAGTCGGAAGGATGAAGGGCTGCTTACCTCCACCCAGAGGGCCAGAACCACGGGATCCCCCAGGGAACAACAGGAGAAAAGGGGTTCGGGGAAATTTCCCCCTGCCTTGCCCTCCCTTAGCCCTCGGGTTCCCCCCATCCCGGTCTGGAACATAACTTTTCCCAAAACCTCCTGTGGGTGCCCTGAGCTAGGCAGGTCCCATTCCTTCCCCTACCCCTGCTCTGGAACGCGCAGTTTCAAATGCTCTTCTTGCCCGTACCCCCATGGGAGCACCTCGGCCTTGCATTTGGAGTACTGGCATCTTTGCCAGTAGGATATTCAAGGTCTTCACCACACCAGAAGCCACAGAACACATTTGAACTAGAAAACCTTCTGAAGTGCCTTACCACATTAAATATCCCTTGATCCTGATATTTATCCTGTGCCCCAGCACCCCATTTGTCCTGTCAAGCAAGGCCATGCAGTGCTGAGGCCTGGCTTGTCTTGGGAGCAGCGTCACAGAGGGAGGGTGAGTGGTAGGACTCAGATCATGTCCAGGTGATAAAAAATGTGTTGGCACTCCTCAAAAAAATATTCTGCATTGCAGCTACGAGATTCTGCTGGATGGCTGGAAAGATGCTGTTCTGCTACCAACTTCAGTAGCAATATTCACTGTCTCTGCCACTTCTTGTAGGAAAACTCCCTCTTGCCCAGCATTATTAATTGTTATCTTAAGACAGAACTATAAATAGTAGCTGCAAACCACCACTCCAGCACAGGTCACTCTCTAGAGCCCTGTGACAGCACAGAGTGCTGCTGTACTGTGTTGCATTTCATGCATGAAGGGTTTTTGTGTTCTCCCCCTTTGCACAGTGTGTGCATCTTGTGCACTGTATGCTGGCTGCAGCACAAAACTTGCCGCTAATAAACTTTGAGGGAGGAGAGGGGGCAGCAGTTTGATTACGTGCTTCCAGAGCTTTCCAAGCCACTTCCAATTTGTGCAGTTTTTATTTCTTTCTTCATTTCTTCACATTCAGGGTAGGCAGGGGATGAGAGAAGGTGCAGGCAAAAACTACTCTGCAGAAGGTGATTATGAGAAAGAGGATGCGTATGGATGGGGCGGGCCTGAGCTTTTGGAAATGCTCCCCCCTTTTCTGAGAGCATCTGCCCGGAGACGAACAGATGTGGGCACCTGCGGTGACAGGCCACATATGCTCCATCCTATTCACAGGCATTCAGACACAGCCACAATGGTGAGGCTTTGTGCACTCGGAGTCACCAAATATATTAATCTGCACTCTCCAGAGCACCGCTCTCTTTAATTTTTCACCGGCAGTAACATCTGATCTAATCTTCCCATGGGCTCCCCCGTGTCCCCCGTGTTTCTTCCCCCTCCCGGAAAGGGAGTGAAGTTATTCAGGTCCCCACCTGTTGCCGGCGGGCTGCGAGCGGGTCTCGCTCCTGCCCCGCACCCAGGGCGTTATCCCAGGATGTGCGGCCCGGGGGACAACGGGGGTTCTCCTCCGCTGGCAATCGTCGGGCACGACAAAGCGAACTCGCCCCCCGCCAAAGGTCGCGCTGCCCGGGGGAACATAAATCTCTCAAGCGCGACTCGGGGGGGGGAGGGGGTTTGAAGCGATTTCGGTGCGCGACGCTTTCATGTCCCCCGCCCCGTCCCTCAGTGGCGGCCGGGTTTTCTCGGGGGCACAATGGCCCCTCCGACCCCGTTGTGGCCGTACAATGCCGAGCGACTGCAGCCCGCGGGCAGGGACAGACGCCGCAGCGAGCGGCCCGACCCCTCCTTCACAGGCACGGGTCGGCCCCTCACAGGCACGGCCCGCCCCGCCGCTGGGCGCAGGCGCGGGGGCAGGCCCTGCCCTGAGGGAAGCGGAAGCGGCGCTCGGGTCAGTGCCGGGCGGTGGGGCCGGGGCCCAGGGGCTCCTCGGGACCGGACTGGACCGGAGCTGAGCGCAGCGCCCGCCGCATCCTGAGAGGTTCTGAAAAACCCCTTCCAAACCAAACTGTGATTAAAGAGGGTGGTATTCTGAACTCTGTCTTTAACTGATAGATTTCGGGAATGCTTTTAAAATTCACAGTACTCTGTAAACTCAACGTCCTTTCTTTGCCTTTTGAATACCATCAGCATGTATATTTCTTAATAAAAACCCGAAATCTAGTCTTGTTTTTCTAGTATTGTGTACTTCTCTACATGCTATTAACCTGAAATCTCCCTCACTGGAGATACTCAAGAACTGTCTGAACGCAATCTTGTGCTGTGTGCTCTAGGATGGCCCTGCTGGAGCAGAGAGGTTGGCCTTGTGGTTCCTTCCAGCCTTACTTATTCAGTGATTTCTGTGAATTTTGTTTGGTCAAACTTAGGAGAATCTCTTGATACTTTTATTTTTCACTGATACGGAAACCAGAGGTGGAAGGGAAAATGAACGAGTACTTATGTTCGGTTGGCAGAGGGGGAGTAAACTGTTTCAAATTGTTAAAAGTGGGATACGGCAATGAACTATTAGCAAAAGCAGAAAAATAACAGTTTGCTTCCAAGCAGCTTTAAAAAATATTATTGTAGAATTTCATTGTTTTCCAGTATTGCATCTTAGAACGTTGTTTTTATTTTTCTTCTTTCAGACTGCTGTGAGTTTTGGACATCAGCCATGGGTGTTAGAGGCTTGCAGGGATTTGTGGCAAGAGTTTGCCCTGATGCATGCCAAACAGTAGATCTGAGAGAAATGGCAGAAAAGCATCGCTTTGATCATCCTGATTGCCCACCTGTTATCGTGGTAGATGCCATGAGTTGTGTTAGACGCTGGTACACACCAGAATCCTGGGTGTGCGGTGGCCAGTGGCGGGAGTACCTTGCCATTTTAGAGGATTTTATCAATGCTTTTATGGCAGCTGGTATCAAGTTGGTGTTTTACTTCGACGGGGTAGTAGAAGAGAAAAAGAGAGATGAGTGGATCAAACGGAGGATGAAGAATACTGAGGAAATAGCCAGATTATTTCAGTTTATCAAGACTCACAGGAAACAGCCAGGGAGAGAAATGTTTGTCCTTCCTTCAGCTCTGCCTACTTTTACACGTTATGCCCTGAAATCACTCGGTCAAAAAACAGTTTGCACATTGCAAGAGGCAGACTTTGAGGTGGCTGCATATGGTTTGCAACACAACTGTATAGGAATTCTGGGGCAAGATAGTGACTATCTCATCTATAACACATGTCCCTACTTTTCCATTGAGAACCTCCATTTGGACAGACTGGTCACTGTTATGTACTCTCGAGAAGTTCTTTGCCATGTGCTGGGTATTAGTTTGGCACACCTTCCTCTCTTTGCGTGCTTGCTTGGCAATGATGTTGTTCCAGAAAGCATGTTGGAAGGCTTTTGGCACAAATGTTTAACCACCAGTCCACACAGGAATAATAGCTACAACAGAAGAACAAACATACTGCTGTCTGTAGCAAATTACATCTCAAAAATTCCATGCTCGTACAGCAGCGTGAAACACTTGGAAGAGATTCTACCTCTGGGATCAGACAAGACATTGCTTTGCAGAGGGGTGAACTCTTATCTTTTGCCTGGGCAGCAGTCTCCATGGGTTCCTCCCAATGAAACAAATTGTCGAATGTTGTCCCTTCAACAACAATCAGCTCTCTGTCAAGATAAAGAAATCTTTCAGGTAACTTGTTTTTTAAAGCTTAATGATCCCTTTATTGCCATGACTAGTTAGTGGAAGTTACTAATGAGTACATCAATCCTATTGATTTAAATTTGCTTGTGCAAAAATCTTTTGTCTGTTAAGTAGAGCCCCAGTTACGACTATTGCATGCATTAATATGAGCACAGATCCAGCATATTTAATGAAGTTTTTGTCTTTTTGTAATGTCAGGTAGGTCACATAATGGGGAGCAGCTCCTGTATAGGCCAGCAGCTGGGCACAGAAATGTACTTCCCATGTATTATATGATTTCCCATGTTAATATGATTGGTGTATTGACTTAGTTTTTACTTTGAGAACCCACAGGTCAACCGTAAGCTGGTCAGTGATCTGCTTGGTTGTGGTTTGCAATGGAGGTATCAAAGGTAGCTGTGCTAAGAATGCAGAAGTTGAAATTGCTTGTGGTGGAGACCTGGAAACTCCTACAGAATCATGTCATAGAGTCATAGAATAGTTGGGGTTGGGACTAAAGATAACCTAGTTCCAAACACCTGCCCTGAGTAGGGAGACTTCCACTAGTCCAGGTTACTTAGAACCCCATCCAACCTGGCCTTGAATACTTCCAGGGATGATCCAACTTCTCTCTTGTCAACCTAAGCCAGTGCCTCACCACCTTCACAGCAAAGGGCTTCTTCCTATACCTAATCTAAACCTACTTTCTGTTGGTTTAAATCCATTTCCCCTCATCCTGTCACTACACACCCTTTTGAAAAGTCCCTCTCCACCTCTTTTGCAGCCCTCTTTAGGTATTTGAAGGCTGCTCTAAGGTATCTCCAGAGCCTTCTCTTCTGCAGTTACACAATCCCTGCTCTCTCAGCCTGTCTTCATAGCAGAAGTGCTCCAGGCCTCTGATCATCTTTGCAGTCCTCTGGACTCCAACATGTCAAAGTCCTTCCTGTGCTGGGGATGTCAGAGCTGGGCACAGCACTCGGGGTAGGGTGTCACCAGAGCAGAGTAGACAGGAAGAATCCCCTTCCTTGCCCTGCTGGTCACACTGCCTTGCATGCAGCCCAGAGTTCAGCTGGCTTTCTGGGTTGGGAGCGCATGTTGCTGGTCAAGCTCATAGGTCAAGCAGCTTATTCAGCAACACCCTAAAGCCCTTCTTAGAGCTGCTCTCAATCCATTCTCCATCCAGCCTGTATTTGTGGTCAGGA